TATTTAATAAAATCAATATTATTAAAATATTCTTCCCAAGGTAAAATTTTTTTCACATGATTAGTATTGAGAATTAGAATATTAAATACCTTTGAAAATTTTCTTATAGGATTGCGTATTTAACTTTTCTTACTTATTTATTTTTGACAGAATATAATATAATACACCATACCAATATCTTCAAATCCAGTATGGATGAGTATATACACACACACACACACATATATATATATATATATATATATATATCTCATTTAATTATTATCTCTATACATGAAGTGGGTTGAATTGATTTGTAGCTTAATTAGATTAGAAACACATGAGCTAACTACAGTATAATTTCTTGGTTGCTGTTAATTTTTAGCTGGAACCACTGAATTTCTCTTATTTTTTAATTTTTATTTTTATTTTCCGAACATGATAATATATATATATATATATATTATATAAGTCTTGTAAAAGATACCAGTAAAAACTTAAATTTCAATCATAAATAAATTAGAATAATTGCTAAGGGTCAATTAAGTAAAATAATAAAATTAATTCATTTTCTTTATTTAATTTAACAAACTAAAAAATATTAAACTGTAACACTCGGGTCCGAAAATTAGATCGGGATAATTTTACAGATTATGAAATATATATATATAAATAATTAAAAATTTTATTTTATTTTAATTTGATTGAATTTTTTTAAAAAAATGAATTATGTATGAAATTGAAAATAATTTTGAAAAGAAGAGGTGAAAATTTGAGTTCGAAGTGTATTTTTTAAAGAAAAATTAAAAATAGAGGATCAAAATACAAATAGAGAAAATTCGCCCATGTAGAACCGCCTATCCAACAGCCTCAACGAACCGGAGCGCGCCGCATAACCAAACGTACCAACATTAGCACCACGCGAGAGGCCACGCTGGCGATCTACGTGCCCCACGATTGGATGACCCATGATCAATCTCGTGCGCGTGGACAACCTCGATCCGTTTCCACCTTAAGTGCGATCGGACGGTCGAAATTAATCGTGATGAACAGTTCAGATTCGTTTTCTCCTTAGACATGATCAGACGAATGAGATCGATTGTGATGGACGGTCTAGATCAACGCTGAATGATTATAAATACTTCACATCACATGGAAACCTAAACCTCAGCCGCCAACCCTCGCTGGAGAAGAAGAACCAGACGCTAGAGAAGGAGGCCGACCGCCAACCGCCTAAAAAGTAAATTTTTTTCCTAACTGCTCAAAATTTGGTTCCAAGTATCCCTGTGGACAAATAGGAGTAAAGAAACGACATGTGAGCCAAAAACTGCGGATAAAATTCGGCGGAGCTTTCGCGGCTAAAACCTCAAAATTTCTCTAATAAGCTCATTGTCGATTCATGTTTCATATAATTTTTCGATCTTGTGTTCACTGTCCTTTTCTGCGTAGGGTAGCCGAAGAAATAACCTCAACCACGAAGGAGAACCAGCAGAGGCGCCGCACCCAAAGGTCCTCCCGCCGGTAGGTTCAGTTTTTTTTTGAGATTTTTCGGTCAACTAAGACCCCTAATATATTTTTCTGCAAGAATACAGCCAAAATCAGTCAAAACCAGCCAAAACTGACTAAAATCGGTTAGGTTGAAGCAAATTTCCGTCGTGGACAGCAGAGTCGACGCTGGAGCACAGCACCACGGCTGTGTTGGAACCCTAAAAATTGGCCAGAATGAGTTTTGGACACTAATTTTGAATTTTTGAGGGATTTTTAGGTGTGTGACGAGTGTTTTGAATTTCATATGAAAAATTCAGGGAACTCGATACCCGTTAGGAGGCATATTAGACAGCTCGATATCTCGAAACGCCGATCCAGGTAATGATCCCTCACCGTATTCTATATTACGGTAAATTGAGACTTAATAATGATAATTTCATATTTTGTGAAAATTTGAAAAATTTTAAAAATAATTACAGGTTACTAATAGAATCGAAATCGATTAGTTTACAATTGTATTGATTTCCTGTTTATCTTCTTGTACTGTCCTACTTGCTTGATTTTCGTATAGTACATGTTCTTAATTTATACATTCAATCGTTTTATCGACTTATCTGATTATTTTGGTTATATACCGTCAGTATGAATGTAATTTAATTGATTTGTGAATGTGATATGAGATATTAGTATGAATTGTTAGTTGTTTATTAATAAAAATTTGTATGTAAAAGACTTACTGGGTACTCAGTAAAAAGGCAGATGAGCTCAGTACATAAGAAACTTTACCGTGAATGTTACCTCAGTTGGACGGGATTGAGAAGTCCCTTACCGGAAAGGTTTGAGAGATATTATTCACCCTCATACTGGACGGGATATTGAGACGACGAAATGTTTGGCGCCCATTATCGGACGGAGTATGAGGACGACCGGTTAATTGTTAAAATTGGTTATTAGATTCACGAGTAAGATGGCATCCATTTGGACCCCTAGGAGTACCAATAAGCAGGTAAAGAAGGAAAGTTATTATTTTTTATTCTTTTATGTGTGAAAGTGGAGTGATATAAATATAGGTCTTCATAAGTTATTTTGAAAAATTCGTTATAGTAAGTTCGGAATAAATAATATTCTTTATATTAAATGAATTTACTCAAATTAAGTGTTCTGTTAGTTATTTTATGATTTTTACCAATTTTCAGTTTTCTGTATTTGTGATTACCGTGATATTCTTACTGGATTAGTATAACTCATCATTTCATTAACTATTTCAGATAAAGAGGATCAAGATTCAGATCCCGATCAGTAAGAGCGTTGTGAGTAGTTCACTATCCAAACTCCCTTCAAATACTAGTAAAAGTTGTCCTACGATATTTAGTTACTCGCTTTTCGTTTCATTTCTTTAATTTTCGTTTATTTTTTAGAATGAACATTCTCGTAATCTTATTGAACATTCTAAATTATTGTGTAAGAAATATAAACCCTAACTCTATTAATCGCTTCCGCATTAAATTTATGAATTTATTTTTCTTCTAATTCCGGGTCTCTACATAAAGGGACTCAATTAATTTGATACCGTTTTATGCGCAATAATTTTCACGTAAATTCACATGGCTAATTAAAATCTATTATTTTGACGAAGATAACCAATATTGATAATTAAACTAATTATTATCCGTAAATTTCGAGCATGTTAATTATTAATAGGACAAAATTAATCAAGTACTTATAGCTAGCTTACAAACTTAATTAATCACATTGCTGTTTCAGATATTCTACACAATTATTTATTTAATTTTTTAATTAAATTTCCCTTTATAATTAAGGTGATGGGTGAATTACTAATCATATGCTAGTGGGATTTTAACTATTACTAAGATAGTTTCCTTGGAAGAAGGAATTTGTAGCAAAGGGGGATTATCAAAAAATAGAAATGATAATGCTAATCTTAGAAATTAATTATTGTAATCAAGAATCTCACTTTTAATTGGGGGTCCAAGAATTGATTATTTATAAAAAGAAAATAAATTTCAAAATTGAAAATGACTCTCAAATTAACTTCATCTTTTATATGGAAATTGTTATATTTATATAGTAAATAGCCATGTGTATATGAAACCCCAACTATACAAAAAGAAGTATATGGATGCCCTAGGAAGGTACTAGATTTCGCACTTGAATTATCGTGAATGGGTTTTATTCGAGTAGTTATCCGAATTATAGTTTACGATCGAAATCTAATTTTATTTAGGGTAAAATTTTATTAAAATATATTATGATTCATTAAAATAAAATTTAATTTAATTTAATTAAATTATCAAAGCTCTATTCTCGACCTCTTTAAATTAAAACGTTATGATCAAACCATAATATATAATAAATTTTGTGGTTTTGGGGAGACTTGTACTCGTCAATTTTAAATATAATAGAATATAATAATTATAATTACTATAATACCCCTCGTAATGATAATAATTATGTATATATAGTAGCTATATTACTTTTAAGTATGATTGTATATGTATGTGTATGCATTATCAATTTTAGCTACATTCTAATGGCTAGTATCTTTTGTTATTTTTTGGGTCGTCATAATTAATTTTGTCATTTATCGAATGACGATAGACATTTGGCCAATGACGGCTGATATTTGATAAATGATAATTGACAACCTTTGGACCATTGAAAGAAAATAATTAAAAATTTAGAATATATAATAAGATAATAAATAATAATAATAATAATTATATTGATGTCGAAGTTATAACAAAGTATATAGCAATTATTAAATAGTAATCATATGTAACAAATATTAATTTAATGTTAGAATATATTAATATGTAAAATCGTATAGACACATAATTGACAGTAATGAAATAATTTATTTTTTTTAATACTATGGTAACTATTAAATATTAGCGAAGGTATAAAGTTATCATACAATATCAAGTGTGTTTATTTTATAGTTGTTATATAGTGACCATATGGTGTCCGTACACTTTATAATAGTTAAGTGTTAATGATTTTTTTTATTTATTATTATTATTATATAAGTAGATATTGACTATCTAAAAGTTTTTAAGTATTTTTTTTTTTATAAATTACTTATTAATATGAACATAGAGATGATAAAATTATTAATTAATATGGAAAAATGAGATTAATGTAGATAGTGGGCAACTATTGAAGGAGCCAAGGGGGCCATGTGGTCCCACTTGGCTCTACATACACCATGCACCTATATTTACTCTATAGGTCCATATATACATACAGTATATACACCTATACTTACTAAATTTTCAACTTAAAATAGAAATTCTGTTGAATAATCGATAAGTTAAATTATATGTTTTTTTATTCAAGCATATACATATATATTAGTGATACATAAAAAGTAATAGTAATTAAAATCTTAATATTCTATTTAAATATCACGATTACGAATTTTACTGAGAATATAAAATTCACAATCTTATAGATATATCAAATTCAACGGATTTATAACTTAACTCATTAGACAAGTTTGTCCGCACAAAGGATTTCCTTGCATTTGAATACGACTGTTGATGACCAAATGAATCTCTAAGGTCTGTAAAACGTGATCAATCATCAAAATAAAAAAAGGGGAGAGAAGGGTTGTATTTGAAGTCAACTCTTGATGAGTGCATGAATCACGTGGACTGTAAAAAGGAGAACAATCTGAAACATACCAGGAGAGAGAGAAGGCAAGAATTGTGCTGACAAACTTGCAGATCCAGGCTCCCATGGTGAGAGAGATTGCTGCTCCCACAATTCTCCTCCTGGATTGTATTAGATCCATTCTTACGGCTGAATTAAAACTGAAGCAAGCAATCTCATGCCCCGAAAAAGAAAACAACACAAAAAAGAAAAGGAAAAACCTCTTTCACAACCATTAGGTTTCATTACTCGAGGAAAACTGATTCGGGTGAGTGCGAGAAAAGGATTATAACACCGATGACAAATAAGCTATATTCCTATGCAAAAGAAATACGAAGTAATACACATTATTCTAGAAAGTTCAATGAAGATTCTGCAGATACAAAACTCTAGTAGATACACTCAACCTACATTATTCTGACCAGAACTTCACGAAAGCCGCTATGAAAGATTTAAAGATTGTCAAAAGAGGGTTTGTTTCTGGTTCAGCAGTATTATCAGATGCTCCTTTCCAAGATTCACTGTGGTCAAAAACCAAGAGGAGAAATTAGATATCTTCAAGTAAAAAATAAATGGTGATCCTAAAAGATGATTACCTGAAAAGGAGGCCACTAACTAGTATTGTAATTGGAATGACACAAATACTTACGGTTTGATTCTTTTTAAGGTAGTATTGACTCCTTTTGCTGGGCTTATATTATGTTGAAAATCATCCTTATTTCCAGTCAAAATTGGTGGCTGGATCGTTGGTACCTGACTGCCACCGGTGCTAGTGACATTGACGGTTCTGGTATGGATGCTATGTGGAACATTATTACTCTGCACAAGAATATAAAAACGATAGCTCCAATCATCATTCCTGTTGTCATGGGTTTCAGCATGAAGTATAGATGCATTTTTCGTAGCACATAGTATTTCAAGAGAATTGTTTTTGGCAGTCATTTAATTCTTAATACTAATGTTTGACATATCGAATCTTTTCAGTAAGCACATTGAGTTGACTGAAAAATGAAACACCAAATAAGAATGCATGTCCAACAAATCCACAGAAATTCTTAAGAGATTAAACAAACTGCAATGAGTGACAATACAAAGGGAAAAAAAGATTGCAGATCACAAATATCATGAGTGTAGATGTGATAATTTTCTAAGAGAAAATTTCTTATTCTGGTTTCCAAAATAGACAGAAGGCTGATTCTAAAGTAAGGTCTCCAGCTTCATGCCCGTCCATGTTATCCAAAGTGACAAGTTATACAAAATTTACTTCGCTGACTATGGTAAGCGATCACTCCAGTAAATAAAAAAGGTGAGAATTTACCTTTGTTTCATCACTTGGTTGGCTTTGTTCAACTGTCTTAGGTGATATGATATCCTTTGCAGATACTTCAATTTCAAGATCAGTTTTCACAAGGGTTCCGTGCCTCAAAACTTCTGTTGTGAGGGAGCAATTAGAATTTCCCAAGGGTGAGTCAGCAGCGCATTCCACTGCTTCCTTCTCCATCGAAGCAAAATTTACTCCTGACAATGAAGCTGCAGTTTTGTCACTTCGTTTTTCACCCACTAAACCAGATTCCTCTGAAGTTTCTA